CTTCTCCTGACTTACAAAGATTTTTTTTCTCTTAATATGCCCAACTTTCTTATTAAGGTGTTTCATGCCTGTGGAGTCAGGGAATTTGAGATGGAACCAGCATTTAGTAGCACCAGGCACTCTGTGCATTTCCTCACTTGACAATCACTAACTAATGAAAACTGAACTGTACAAATTATCTATGCACCATTTCCCTAGGACAGAGTCCCAGAATATTTTCATACAGGGATGAAATAGTCTATAATAGCCTCCCAGCAAGTCTCCCTTCTTCCTGTCTCTCTCCCTATATCGCTGTCTGAGAAAGTCCGATAGGCAAGAGTTTTGAATCTTGTTCGTTTTTCTGCTTTGATAGAAATTAATTTGGTTTTTAGCCCATGAGTTAATAACCAGTATTTATCAAAAACTTCAAGTAAAACTCAAGAATGTTACCAAGTGTGCAAATGACACAAATCTGAGACCAATGGTAAATATTTTGGAAAATGGGCAATAATTCAGTTCAATAAATATTTATTGTGTGCCTACCACGTATGAGGCATTTTTCTAGGTAACACAGGGATTGAAACAATGGACTAGAAACAAAGGATTTGAAATCCGTGAGTGACTGAAGGCAGAAAAAATAAATACACTTATAAATAAAATATAAAGAAAAGCTGAAGTGCTTGTCCAAAGATGAAAGTAACAGTGAACAAATCTAGTTATGGGGTAGATCATGAAACACCAAGCTATAGGGCAGGAGCAGCCTAGATTGGGGTTGTAACTGATCCAGTATCCCTTCCTGGGTGGCTCTGGTTAAGATTTCTATAGCTGTAAACAGTTTTCACACTCTGAAGAGTGAGCCAAAGGCTTTGTATGTGGGGCAAAGGAGAGGTGAAGTCCAATCTCTTGAGTACTAAGGAGGAGGCTGAAACATCAAGGGGCCACTGTGATGCAATTTTGTAGTAGGGAAGAGAGATTGGTGTCAATTCTGAATACATGGGCAAGTGAGAATTTATAACCAAGGTGCAGGGTTGGAATCTGTGGGTAGAAAATTACTAAGAGGAAACATCAGGAATACGGGGCCATTCTGGCTAAACTGACCTAACAGGATTCTTGCTGAAGACAGGGTGGGGTGACTAGACATCTCCTGGGGCATGGTGGAGGAGGAGGAACCTGATTTGATATCAAGCGTGATCAGATATGGAGGGTGAGAGGTTGTGGTTAAACTGACTTAGCAGGATTCTTGCTAAGCTTGGACAGAGCAGAGATGAGTATGAAAGTCCATGTTGGAAAAGAGTTCAAAAGAACCTGATTAGAGTTTGGTCCATGAAAGAATCTTTGTCAGAGTTGAGGATGTTCCCACAGTCTCTACCTAAAGGGACCAGGGACCAGGCAGGAACCGTAAATAAGTGGCCCTAGAGAGCCAAGTCTATTTCTCAGTTTTGTTCTGCTTTCCCATTTTGATAGTAGATATAAGTGCAAGAAATGCTTTCTTCTTCTTTGCTACAAAACAAAAACAAAAAAACACAAAAAACATGTGCAGGTAACACTTAGGAGACGATTGATGGTACAAAACACAATAAACAGAGTACCAGGGATTCCACTCACCATTCTAAATGAAGATGGTAATTTCTCCACTACAGCTAATTGTCATGCATAAACAAAAGTCCAGTGTGGCCTGATCTTCTCACATTTTTCAAAGAATATTGTAAAGTAATTAATAATTTTTAAGTAATGGTAACACTTATATTTTTGTAAAACGCTATATGAGCTAGTATTTTAAGAGTCAAAGAAAACAACTCAGCTGGTGTTTGTTTTTACTTTTAGTAGAGTGTGTATCCTGAGTTCTTTGCAGTACCTGTGACCCCTTCACACTCACACTCCTGCCACAGAAGCCTTGGCTCTTAGAAAGCAAATACCAAGAACTGACTTCTGCATTTTATATCATTCCTCTCCAGAGGCAATGAATGCTGCACATCAAGCTACAAAAAATGGTTTGCCGGGGAGGGGGGGGTTGGGGGGGTAGATGGTAACAAAAAAATACCAGGGAGAAAAAAGTAGGTTCATATTTCAAAGCTATTACCCTGCCAACGTTAAAACGAATTAAAATGAGAAGAGGCAAAATACATAGAGATCAAGTGAGATGGCTTCTCTAATAAATCAGGCAAAAAATAATAAGAACTTAAACTTGGTCGGTGGCTGTGAAGAAAATAATTTGGCTGGGGCCTAAAAAAGAAGTAACTTGGCTGAAGGATACAAATCATGGGGTAGACTCTACAAAGCTTGGCAACCAATTGGAACCAAACAAAGGAGAACAAATAGTAGGTCCAAGGCCACAAATGGATGTTTCATGCCCAGGTTACTACATTCTTTGGATCTAAAGTTTTGAACTTATTTGAGTCACTTACCTTTTATTTTTGATCTACTTCCTTATTTTTTTAACATTTAAAATTTTGAAATATATAGAAGGGTGAATACTTTTAAAGCTAACATCTGAGTAACCACCACACAGATCCAAAATTAGAATATACCAACCCCCAGAAACCCTCTGTGTCCCCTTCCCAATTCAAAACCATCTCTCCCTCAAGAGGTAATTTATCTTCTAACTTTCATGGCAATTATTTTCTTGCTTTTTTCTAAAGGTCATATAACTTTTTTCAGGTAGATTGCCTATCTCCTCTTCATTTAGTTGTTCTTGTGGGGTTTTTTCTTGTTGCTTCATTTGCAACATATTTCTCTGTGTTCTCATTTTGTCTGACTTTCTGTGTTCATGGTCTTCTTTCCACAGTCTGCAGGATCATAGTTCCTCTTGCTTCTGGTGTCTGCCCCCTGGTGGGTGAGGTTGGTCCAGGGGCTTGTGCAGGCTTCCTGTTGGGAGAGACTGGTACCTGCCCTCTGGTGGGTGGAGCTGGGTCGTGTCCCTCTGATGGGCAGGGCCATGTCCATGTCAAGGGGTGTGTGAGCTCAGTACAACTTTAGGCAGCCTGTCTTCTGATGGGTGGGGCTGTGTTCCTATCTTGTTGGTTGTTTGGTGTGAGGCTTTCCAGCACTAGAGTGTGCAGGTTATTGAGTGGGGCCGGGTCTTAGTGCTGAAATGTGGACCTCTGGGAGAGCTCACTCCAATCAATATTCCCTGGGGCTTCCGCTACCAGTGTCCTTGCCCCCACAGTGAGCTATAGTCTACCTTCACCTCCCCAGGAGACCTGCCAAGACCCCTAGGTAGGTCTGGCCCAGGTCCCTATGGAAGTACTCCTGTGTGCTGGATCCCACTGCACGTGAGACCTTGTGTGCACCCTCCAAGAGTGGAGTCTCTGTTTCCCCCGCCCTGTGGAGCTCCTGCACTCAAGCCCCACTGGCCTTCAAGGCTAAATGCTCTGGGGGTCCTTCCTCTCAATGCCAGACCCTCAGACTGGCACAGAGGGCTATTTTTATGTGGGAACATCCCTGTGTAGCCTGCATAGGTTTAATATTTTTTGGTGTGAGGGCTCTTTTTAGTATAGATGTCTGCCACCTCTTTCCTCAGTGTATGCTGGCTGTTATCCCTTTGATAGGAGGTGTGACTGATGTTGTGGTGACCAGAACCTGCACTGGATATTGAGCAGGGCCTCCCCTTTGCTCTCTGGTTGTCACTGCCCTGTCAGGGGTGGGATCTGCTACCTAGTCGTCGGAGTAGAGTCCCCCAGATCTGTTTCTGAGCTGTGTTTCTGATCTGTGGTGTGAGGTAGGTGGGACTGGAGCATTCCTCCCCTGGAGCTGTTCACCTATGGGTGTGCTCTGTTGTGTCACCTTCACCTGTTGTACAAGCTCTTAGATTACACTGTTGTTGGTACTGCTCTCGTCTCCACCTTAACCGTGGGAATGCCTGCAGTTGGCCCCAGTGTCCCTCAGACATTGTTTTCACCAGGCCACCAGCGCAGATCCACTGAAGTCATGTCCCAGGATTGCAGTAAGCATGGATCTGGACCCGCTGTGTGCACTATGGGGGCAGCTCAGACTCTGGCCTGGCCCGACCCCCTGTGTAAGTGCCCACAAAGTCTACAGCTGTTAAGCTAGGCCCATCTTGGCTGCAGGAGCAGCTGCTGTCCATTTAGATGTTCTGCAGGCACTTAGCTTACAAAGCTGGTCGCAGGGTCATCAATTCGCAGATTGTGCAGCTGCGAGGAGAGACTTCAGCTTTTCTTCCTTAGTTGTACAGCCCCTGGGGCTCAGCTGTGGTTTCAGCACCACCTCTGCATGTGGGCCACCCACAGGGGTCTGCTCCCGAGGCTGCCCTGGAGCACACAAGTCCGCCCCGGCGAGGAGGGGGTTGTGGATGCAGCAGCAACGGGGGTCACAAGAGCTCCTGCCCTGGCAGGAGCCCTTCCCCATGCCCAGGGAGGCAGGGGCCTCATGTGGGGAGAGAGGCTGCAATGGCAGTCCTGCCCCTTGCAAGTCACTTAACAATGGTGCTTCACTTCTATGGCGGTCTGGGTTTCCTCTACAAGCGTTCCTAGTTGTGGATTTCCTCACTTCCATCCCCTCAGGCTGTCTCCGCACAGTCAACAGAAGTCTTCTCCCCGGGTCTGCTCTCCAAACCCCACATTTTAGCACCCAGCCCCCATACACACTGGCGACACACCTTTCAGGCTGGGGCACACAGGGCTGTGGCGAGGACCATCTGTGTAGGTCTCACTCTGTCCTGCCTGCCACAGACAGGTTGCTGGGCTCTCCTCTCGTAGCCCCCAAAGTTCCCCTTCTGTCCCAACTGATCTCCTCGCTGTGAGGGGGCTTCCCCGGGTGCGGGAACCTCTCCTCACCTTCAGCTCCCCCAAGGGGTGCAGGTCCCATCCCACTTCCTCTCCTCTTCCTTTTCCCTTCTTTCTTTCATCCTACCCAGTTACACAGGGGTCTTTCCTGTCCTTTTAGGTGTCCGAATTTGTCGTTTTCGCTATAAAACGATGTATGTGCCAAGTGTCCTGATTAAGAATGATTAAAGAAAAGACACATTTCTCTTCTCCCCCAACCCAACCCCCCTATCATTTTAGACCCCTAAGGGGACCTGTGCAAGATCAGTGAAAATTGCCATTGACACGGGGTACCGGCACATTGATGGCGCCTACCTCTACCAGAACGAGCACGAAGTGGGGGAGGCCATCAGGGAGAAGATAGCAGAAGGAAAGGTGCAGAGGCAGGATATCTTCTACTGCGGAAAGGTGAGGTCTTCCCTTCACCCTACACGACTTACGTTCATGGTGGGTCTGACGTCTTTTCTCTGCTGAAGAATATTGAACTCACCAAACCCTGCAGGCTTGCAGGATCTTAGTTCCCTGTGTCCCCTGCAGTGGAAGTACAGAGTCCTAACCGCTGGACTGCCAGGGAAGTCCTGAGGAGTGAGTTCTTAACTGCCAAATTCCTCAATCTTGCCAAGGATTTAGGGACTAATTAGCCCCATGAAGTTTAGGGAAAAGTTCTTTCTTCATACTTGGGCATTGATTTAAGACAATACGGAAGAGCCAAATCAAAGAAAGTTGATTTGAGGAGTGAAGGGAAGTAAGGAGGTGGTTCATGTTATAATAAGCATGTGTCAAAACTTCTTTTAAAAGGAGGCAGCGTTTTCTTCTGTATATGCCTATTTGTCCATAGATCACTAATTTTTTTTGAGATATAATTCATGTACCATAAAGTTCACCATTTTTAGTATATTCATAAAGTTGTTCAACCATGACCACTACCTTTTCCAGAATATTTTTATCACTCCAAAAAGAAACCTCTTACCCACTAGTAATCACTGCCTATTTATCCCTCTCCCCCATTCACTGGTAAACACTGATCTACTTTCTGTCTCTTTAGTTTTCCTATTCTGGACATTTCATACAAAAGGAATCATACAATATGTGTTCTTTTCTGTCTAGCTTCTTTCACTTAGTATAATGTTTTCTACTTTCAACCATGTTGTAGCACATATCAGAATTTCATTTCTTTTTATGGCCAAATACTATTCCATTGTATGGATATACCACATTTTGTTTAGATCACTACCTTTTGAGAAATTGAAATCTCCAGAAATCACTATCCATTGAAGAGCAATCAGAAAGATAAAGCACCATGATAAAATGAAAGCCAGTGGAAATATAGGATACATATTTACAGGCAGCCTTGCAGGAATAAAACTGTATAACTTTAGAGAACTTGTAATACAATTCTCCTAAGTTTTCTAAAGAGAACAAAATGGTGCTTCTGACTTCACTCACTCCCCAGACCCCGTCCTCCCTACTCCTTTCCAGCCTCTCCAGGAGTTTGCAGTTTCCCAAGTCACCAGCCACTTATGGGCTATGATTTCAAGGGGCCATGTAGAGCCACTGTCCCAAAATATCAGCCTGAAGCTTCTTACTTTATTATAGCTTTACAGCCTGATTCCTAAAGATTTTGTTATTACAGAGTCTCTCATTACAACTCACCAAGCGTTTCTGGGGAAAAATAAACTTGAACTCATATCCTGAGGACCTGAGCCAAAGAATCCTGCCCAAAGCTGGAAATATTTTTGAATTTATTAAAAAAAAAAAAAAAAACTTTCATTCTTATCTCCTTGGAAAACCGTTAAAGCTGTTGGAATACCTATCATGATGAAAAAATTGAACTGAATTAAATCACCTATTTCATTTCATTTCAAGGCTTGATATGAGTTAACATTTACAAAGCACTTAAAGAGTACCTAGAACTAGTACTGCCTGTCTGTTGAATAAAAATAGATTAAAACATAAAACAGAATTTTCAGTTAGATGAGATTTCACCAATACACCAAAAGGACCCACAGTAACAACAAAAACACGTTTTTCTCTACTCTCACATTGTCTTCTCTATGCTCTGAAGGCAAGAAAAAAATTATTGTCCAACATAGGAAAAAAATCAAATTTTGCTAATTTTGCTTGCTCTTAACTTGTGGCAAAATATGTACATAAATTCAAAGCTTTTTCTCCCAAAAAATATGTAAGCAAATTTGATGCTCCAAGAAGATGTATTCATTTATCCTGAAGCTCTGGGTACCCTTCAGCATCCCATGTTTTACAGACCTCAAGGGTACACATGCTCCAGTTTGACAACCCAAGGCTTAATCTTTCATTACCTAACACTTTAGAGAACGAGTAATTTCTTTTTCTTTTTTTTCTTATTTATGTTAAGCTGTCTACATTCCTTTTATTTACTTTTTCAGCTTTATTGAGATATAATTGACATATGGCCTTGTATAAAGTGTACAACGCATTGATTTGATACAATTATATATTGCAAAATGGTTACCACCATAGTGTTAGCTAACACCTCCATCACATTACATAATTACCATTTATTTTCTGTGATGAGAACATTTAACATTTATTCTCTTAGCAACTTTCACGTATATAATACAGTATTGTTATCTATAATCACCATGCTGTTCATTAGATCCCCAGAACTTATTCATCTTAGAACAGGGAGTTTGTACCCTTTGACCAACATCTCCCCATTTGTATTCATGAATAGCTGTTTTGTTTTGTTTTGTTTTTTCATGAATATCTATTTTATTGTTTTTTAATATAAATTTATTTATTTTATTTATTTTAGTTTTGGCTGCGTTGGGTCTTCGTTGCTACACGCAGGCTTTTCTCTGGTTGCGGTGAGCAGGGGCTACTCTTCATTGTGGTGTGCAGGCTTCTCATTGTGGTGGCTTCTCAGGAGCACAGGCTCTAGGCACGCGGGCTTCAGTAGTTGTTGGACATGGGCACAGTGGTTGTGGCTCGCGGGCTCATGAGCGCAGGCTCAGTAGTTGTAGCGTACGGGCTTAGTTGTTCCGCAACATGTGGTATCTTCCTGGACAAGGGCTCGAACCCGTGTCTCCTGCATTGGCAGGCGGATTCTTAACCACTGTGCCACCAGGGATGCCCCATGGATAGCTATTTCATTGTTGATCTTTGTTGGAGGACTGGAGGCTGGGGTCTCCCATGCCGCCATTTTGGTGACATTATTGGTTCAGATCTTAGTAGGGATTGGCAGAATTTTCCTGGGGAAATGAGGAAGTGAACCAAATGAGAACAAAGGAACAGTGAAAAGGGATCTAAACTTTTGCAATAATTTAAAATTTCACCAGCTTCTGCACCACCCATCACAATGTGGAGGATCTGGTGAAGACACATACACAACCATATTTCTTACTCAGATGAAGCACACCTTTTATCAGTGAAATGAAAGTAAAGTGCCAAGCCAGGTCAGAACCACTAGTCAGATACATGTTCCCTAATTACACAATGAGGAAAAGTGAAAGTGCGAAGAGTCCATTAGGCAATTAGCACAGAGCAGAGGAAGACTTTATTGCTGAATTAGGTACTCTGTGGTTCAGATGGATCTTTAAATCTCTGGTACTATACTTGGATAAAGTTATACTCTGGATGTCAAGTTATATCAGCTCAACCTGTACTCAGATGACACTGCAACGTAAACATATTTTTGTAAAATGAAATGGGTGAATACAATGCGTATGAGTGTTTATAAAGAATAAAGGGCTGGGGAATTCCCTGGCGGTCTAGTGGTGAGGACTCTGCTCTTCCACTGCAGGGGGCATGCGTGTTGGGGAACTAAGATCCTGCATGCTGCACGGTGCAGCCACAAAAAAAGAAACAGTAAAAACAAATTTTAAAGGGCTGCATCATTGTTAATAATAATAATGAGGGTATTAGTTAACTATCTCCCTTTTTTTCTTTCAGCTGTGGGCTACACATCATGACCCACAGATGGTCCGCCCAACTCTGGAGAGGACGCTCAGGGGCCTCCAGCTAGATTATGTGGATCTTTACATCATTGAAATACCCATGGCTTTTAAGGTAAGTTCATATGCCTAAAGGTAAAGCCTCTGCTCTTTGGCAACCATGGGCCAACATCTATGTACGGGAAGCTCATTCATTACTTAGCACCATAGAATATTATGATGTTTTGTTACCGTAAATCAGATAGTACTGACCTAACCCAACAAATGCCAAGAAAGATTATGTGTAGCCAGCTCAGGCCTGGATCCCAAGTTTCTAGATTCATAATCCAATGCACTGTCTGTTTTATCACGTCTTTGCAGCTATAAACGCTCTCCATCAAACCAACAAGTAGTCTCCTAACTGTAGTCCACATTGCAGTTGTCCAGCATCCAGACACACCCTTCTTCCCATTCACACAGTCCCGAAAACATCCCTGCACAACATAATGTAAAATAATAAATACAACGGAAAACCTACTCACACTCCACCCTCTCCAAAGGAAAATAACCCAAAGAGTAGTCAGATTTTTGAAGGCAGCTCCAAGATCAGGACTTCTAGGTGATATCTATTCCTCTAACTCAAATGCACTCCTTCCTTGAACTTTCTCAATATACGGACTCAGTTTAACCACCAACAACACACCCAGTATACACTGCTGAAGAGCAGCAGCTGCTTTAAAATTTCACTGAGGGAAGGAGAGATTGAAAAACAAAACTGACCACTTGTCCATGAGGTAAACCAGATCCTGCTGGACAGGAAAGACAAGGACTCTCTGCCATTGCAGTGGCCAGAATTTCTTTACACAGCCAACCTGGCTGCCCCGTTCTGTTCTCTGGAAGCACCTTCCTTATTAACTCTCCTCTGTGGTCACATCCAAGATGTGACCTTAGCAATTATATATCCCCAAAACCTCATTTCACAGAAGAGAAAAGCAATGAACTACTTAGGATTAAAGTCCATCAGAATTGGAACCAGATCCTGGGTCGCCTGATGCCAATCTCATACGTGTTCCCTTATACTACACTACCCTCTACCTTATCCTCGCAAGCCTAATAATCGCAATGTCCTGTGGACTACAGTGATTTTTTTATTTCAGGCTCTTGGGATTTTGACCTTAGCCCTTCTCCTCACTCAACTAACTTCGATTCTTATTCAAATGACAGAGTTCTAAGCTGAGTCTTAACAGATTTGGAAAGAACCTGTATTTAACAGTGAGAAAATGAAATTTACTCCTCTGTGGCTGACTAATGACTTGTAAAATCTTTTTGGAGAAGGTAAATAAAGGAATTCTATTTCTATTCTTAAATAGGATCAAGGCTCAAGGACACAGAGAAGGTAAATTTTTAACAGTGAGAAATTACACAGTATAGTGACATTACCTCCCAACTGAACCTGTACTTCCTGTAATTGAGAAATCAGTCTTTGAAGCCAAAATATCACTTGCTTTTTGAATCTCATGATTCTTTTTAAAGAAAAACCTTTCTCGCTAAAATATTTTACCACTTTGTTATTTTTTAAATATAAAGTTAATAAGCAGACACAATTTCAGAACAACAAAAAGTACAAAAAATCATGATAAGACATTTTAAAAAGACGAAGTTATTGCTAAACAGGAATGAGGTCAATAGCATGGGTTTTTAGAGGGTTGAGTTATTCTTCTAATAATGCCTTACAGTCAGGAGCAGGAAAGGAGGAAAAAGACAATGAGTTTATCCAAATGAAGGGATTAGTAAAGTAAGCACAGTGGAACATCATAGAAATATCTAACATGGGTTCAGACTTGGAGAGGACTTAATTAAAATTTGGGAGAGTAAAAACTATTAATAGTAAGAGTTCATAATGGAAATATAAAGCCATTTCAGGTCAGAAGTAAAATTAGGAAGTGCAAAAAGCAAGAAATATGGAGGGAGTCTGGAGCGGAAATAAGCCTCGTAAGTGTTGAGAAGGTCAAAGGGCTTAGAAATCAGAGGTAACCAGGGTAGTTAATATGAATGATTACATGGCTTTGAGGAGAAAGGAGTCTTTTTCCTGCTCTCGATGAAATAGAAGAAAATTGAGGTGAAATTGTCTTTGCTAAAGAGGGCATGGAGAAATTGTTATCACCAGGTGAAAGATTAATTCAGGTGAGATGGCAAAGCGAAAAATTAGGGAAAATTTTTAAGAATATAATGGATTTTATCCAATTGCTTGATTTTCAACAACAAAAAATTCCTATTATCAAGGTCTACAAAGACTTCTATGCCACCAACCAAATCCAGTAGACACTTTGTCCTCATATTTTATTTGATCTCTTTCAGCACAGTTGACGACTGCCTCCTTCTTTAAACATTTTCATCTCATGGCTTCTATGGTATCACCCTCTGGTGATTCTTTGACAGCTTCTTCTCTGCTAAACTCCAAATGTTTTGCCCAGTGCTTTATCCTCAATATTCTTGTCTTACTGAGCCGTACTCTCTCTATAGGTGATTTCATCCAGTTGCATGGATTGAATACCATTTTATATGCTGAGGACTCCCACATTTTATCTGTACCCATGACCTCTCTCTGAGCCACTCTCTGAGACTTCTGTGTTCTCTTCAAATATCCACTTGACTGTCCAACAGTCATTTCAAACTCAAACTATCCGAAACAAAACTCTCAATTCCTTGTCCAACCTCAGGAAATGATTACCACCATCCACTCAAGGAGTCTAGAAGTTATCTTTTATTTCTATCCCATTTCCAAGCCCATAAGAGATGGGTCTCATTTTTAAATATAGCAAAAAAGGAGAAATCTGAAAGACAATTTCCACACCATAGTCAATCTTCATTGGGAAAGTATCATCCAAAAGTTAGAGAAGGAGGTTTGACACTTACATAGTGTATGAGGTAGAAAAAAGGATGCTGAACTCCTGGAGGGCCCAAAAAGGGTAAGAAAAGAACCATGAGGCGATTAGCCAGACCTGAGAAGTAATGTGCTATGCATTTCCCTTATACTTAAGGAATATTGCATTCATCAACTATACTTAGCTGAAGAATTTCCTCTTCTCAGCCTTAGTGATGACCTCTGGTTTCTTATAAGAGTAAGAAATTTGCTGTCCTCAACTTTGGCCAGGATAGACTATCCAAACACTGAGTCTAAAAGTTCTAATTCTCAACTTTTACTTTTCTTTAATGAGAAATTTTATCATTAAGAGAGAACTTCATGGCTTAAGAACAACAATAATCTGTCAATAAATAAAGAATAATGAATGCTGGAGTGAGAGAATGAGACTAATGTGTCATATATGTTGGACAAATGAATTTCTGGACAGTTCCACAGGGGGAGGGGAAAATATATATATATATATATATATCTTGAATTGGTTTCCCAGGGCCCGGGTATATTGGAATACTGACAACTTAAATTCCATCATTTCAATCCCCAGATATAAATAAAGTTAACTACACTTTTTCGTTTTCTTTTTCTTTTTTAACAGCCTGGAGATGAATTCTATCCTAAAGATGAAAATGGCAAATGGTTATATCACAAGTCAAATCTGTGTGCCACTTGGGAGGTGAGTTCAAGTGGGCCTCTTATGTTAAAAGAGTACATTTTTAAATTGTGATCTGATTATTTCTATTCGATTTACGGAGAGTTGCAACCTTTACTCCCAATGAAAAGTAGTAGTCAGGTATTTCTAACCACGAGCAAAGATGTATAAAATCTCCACTTCTGAGTGCTGAAAAATGTTTGATTTTGCTTTGATGGAAGAGAAGAATGCCAAAGATAAGGAAGAGAGAAGTGTGGGAGGAAAAATAAAGTAAAGGAAATAAGTTCTACTGTAACAGTAAATAAAAATATATAAATGAGATAAACTCACAAATTTTTGGTTTCTCAAATTGAATTTTTAAAAATCAGTAATATGATGTCTAAAGGAAACAAATGTAAAATAATATATGAAAAACTGAAAAGCAAATCTGGTGCCATTTCTGAGCAGGCTGCTGGCTCTTTCCCCAAGATTATAAGAGTGAGAAACTAGGGGAAAATAATGCGAAAACCCTTATGGATTTAGGTGGGAGGCAGGTACAGATATTTTGAACTGGTTTGTTTATGAGGTTATACGGAAGCTTTTACCTAGAGTGAAAAGCAACTCAGCAACCACTAAGATAATATAGGAGAGGAACTATCGGAGTTATTTTTGCTCTTATTTCTCTCTTGCTATAGCCTTGGGACACACTCCACACATGTAGACACTTAGGACTCGTGTTCAGATGTCTTCAGGAATCAAGTCAGAGCAGCACTGGAATCTTGCACTTGTGAGAAGCTGATAAAAACATAAGTCTCTGCCTGACCTCTGGCAGTTGTTTCCTGCCTCTCCCAATTCAAACTCCAAAGGCTGGAAATGATACTCTAATGATCATCTCATTCTAATAGACTTCCCCCTGTTTAGGTTACAGCTGAGGATCTGAACTGTGGCTTGTTTTGAGGGGTGAGGAGGCACTGACTGTGTTTTCTACTGTCTGGGGCTCTCCACCCGAAAGACCATACACTCACTCCTGACCTCATTGGAGCTGACTAGGATTGGAGTTTGGCATTCTCCTCTAAGGGACTGCCTCACAGTGTACCTAATATCCTCAGGAGAAAATGAGCTCAGAGCCCAAAATAACAAGGCATTTATTTCACAAGGAAACAACATATCTCAATTACATATCGCAACAAAAACAGAACAGAGGACCAAGAACTTTTTAATTAGCCAATTAATATATTCAAGGAGATAAAAGAAAGATATCAGCAATATGAAATAAGAACAAGAAAACTTTTTTTAAAACAAGCAAAAATAATAATTATGAAAAATAAAAACACAGTGCAGTAGATGGGATAAAAATAGAATGGGTACAGATAAGGAAAAGATGATCAGCTTAAAAGATCAGAATGAGGAAATCTCCCAAGTGAAGAAGGAAAGGACAAGAAAAAATTTTAAATGTGAAATATGAAAAGCTAAGAGATGTAAATCATAAAATTAGAATTTCCAGTATCCACACAATAGAAGTCTTAGAAAAAAAGAAAGAAAAGGAAGTAATAATTGAAGAAAAAACCCAGAGATGTTGAAAAGGCATGAATTACCAAAGAGGAAAGAGAAAGAAACCCATACCTGGATGCTTTATAGTGAAATTTCAGGATGTCAAACATAAAGAGAAAATGTTAAAACTTCCGGAGTATAGCAAACAAGCCAGTAAAGGAGACAAAATGAAATGATAAAAAATAATCAGTCTAAGAGAAGGCAGGAAAATAAGAAAAAAGGGGAAATGAATAGATGGGAAAAACAGAAAATAAATAGCAATATGGGGGATTTAAATTCAGTGGTGTCAATAATCACAGTGTATGTAAAGAGCCTAAACAACCCAGTTAAAATGCAGAGGTTTTCAGAATGGATAAAAGGCAAAACCCCACCATATATTATATACAAGAAACTCATTTTAAATAATAAGACACACAACTAAGCCCATGCGCCACAACTACTGAGCCTGCGCTCTAGAGAGCACACGCCACAACTACTGAGCCTGCATGCTGCAACTACTGAAACCCGCATACCTAGAGCCCGTGCTCAGCAACAAGAGAAAGCCACCACAATGAGAAGCCTGCACACCGCAACGAAGACTAGCCCCTGCTCACCACAACTAAAGAAAGCCTGCACACAGCAGCAAAGACCCAACGCAGCCAAAAATTTTTTAAATAATAAATAAATAATAAAACAAATAGGTTGAAAGTAAAAGGTTAAAAAAAAAAGTGAACGTCTAGAATAAGATGTACTAGGCTGACAGTAATCAAAAGAGAGCTGGAGTAACCATTTTAATATCAACAAAAATTTCAGAGCAAAGAGTGTTACCAGGGATAAGGAATTTTGTTTTATAATAATAAAGGGTTCAATCCTAAACATCTATGCACCTAAAAACAGAACTCCAAAATACATGAAGCAAAACTAAGAGTAGTGAAAAGAGAAAAAGAATAATCTAGTCAGAGATTTCAAAACCTCTCTCTTGATAATTGAGATAATAAGTAGACAGAAAGTCTATAGAATATAGGAACTTAAACATTATCAAACAACTTGACCTAATTGATATTTATAGAATACTTTTCCAAAATATAACAGAATGCTATTTTTCTAGTGCACATGGAATACTTCACAAAATAGTTCATTTTCTGAGACATAAAATGGATCTCAATACATTTAAAAATATTCTTAGGGCTTCCCTGGTGGCGCAGTGGTTGAGAGTCCGCCTGCCGATGCAGGGGACACGGGTTCGTGCCCCGGTCCGGGAAGATCCCACATGCCGCCGGGCGGCTGGGCCCGTGGGCCATGGCCACTGAGCCTGTGCGTCTGGAGCCTGTGCTCCGCAGCGGGAGAGGCCACAGCAGTGAGAGGCCCGCGTACCGCAAAAAAAAAAAAAAAAAAGATACTCTTCATGCAAAGTAGGCTGTCTGATGACATTGGAATTAAATTTGAGTCAATAACAAAAATATATCTGAAAAATATATATATATATATATCTGAAAAATCATCATATATTTGGAAACTAAGAAGATACATGTAAATAACCCGTAAGATAAAGAAAAAATAACAAAATCTGAATCTATATGTAGCAACACACAATTGGAAATGGAATTTTTTAAAAACAATGTTAAATATTTAGAGATAAATTTAACAAAATCTATGCAAGACATATAGTTAAAACTACAATATTTTACTGAGAGGATTTTTTGTTAATTTGAACAAATAGAGAACTGTATCATGTTCTTTGATGGAAAGATTGAATACAGATAATTTGTTAATTCCCCCCTAATTCATGGATAGATTCAGTGCAATCCCAATGACTATCCCAAAGGAAATTGAAAAGCTGATTCTAAAATGTATAGGGAAGTGCAAAAACCATAATGATAAAGATTTAATTTACTAAGAAGATATATCAGTCTTAAACACATATCTACCAAATAAAATATCTTCAAAATATATAAAGCAAAAATTGATAGAATACAGAAAGACACTGGTAAATCCACTGTTACAGTGGGAGATTTCTGATATATTTCTCTAAATTATTGAAAAGCCAGGAAAAGCTAGACCTAATCTTCTATATAATGCATGTGTATGTGAGAGAGAGAAACAAGAAGGATCTGTATCCAAAAATAGGAGAATATACATTTTCCACACATACCAGACACATAAAAATTTTCAGGTACTGTACCATAAAGAAAACCTCAACAAATTTTAAGAAATAAGATCATTATTATCATGCTGGTATACATTATGAAAATACAAGAGGAAGATATGATATACAACATTTCCCCAAAATCATTCAATTACAGAATTCCTGCCTATCTCCTCCACTTTTCTTTAGTTCACAGAATGCCTATTAATATAGCCGGGGACTTTACTTTTTAAAGAATGCACAGTCACCTTTATAAATGTTTATTCCTGCTTGTGTTGAGATTTCTTTCTTGACCCATTTGCTCTTACCCTACAGGCTTTAGAAGCTTGCAAAGATGCTGGCTTGGTGAAATCCCTCGGTGTATCCAATTTTAACCGTAGGCAGCTGGAGCTTATTCTGAACAAACCAGGACTTAAGCATAAGCCAGTCAGCAACCAGGTACAGCTTGACAAGGGGAGGGAGGGGAGGGGGGGTGTGGGGAGTGGGGAATGTGGGAGGATCCATTACTCAACAGAAAGAATCCTGGACTAGGAGTCAGGGAGTCCTGTGGTCACTTTACGTGTATCTCATCATTAGACCGTGGGCAAGTCAATTTATGTCTCTTAAGAAAAAAGATTTGAAAGTCCAAATCCAAAAAGTTACCCAAACTTTTTCTGAAGAAAAATAATAATGTAGGGGAACAAAACCTACCAGACATTGACACACAGAGTATTTAAAATAATGTAAGATTACACAAGAACCAACATACAAATAAATAGAAAATAAGAAATACCTTAGAAACAGTCTCAAATAAAATAAAAACTTAATGTAAAATAAAATAGCACAAACTAATGACAAAGGAATTGATTTTTCAGTGAATAGTGTGGGGAAAATTGATAGTTATATAGTAACAAATATAGATCTTTGCCTCATGTTATACTCCAAAGTGTCCCTTTGATCAGGCGTTAAAGAAGAAACAAGAAATTATTTGTGAATACTACAAAAGAATTTTAGTTCTCTGGAGCTATGGATAGAAAGGGAAGCCATGGGAAAATTATAAAGAAAACCAATACATGTAATAGTGTAAAAATGTTAAACACTAAAAATATTAGAAACAAAGAGCAAACAAAATTAGATGATTATATCTAAAAATATAACAGAAAAAGGGGATCATGTCCTTACGAATTAAAAGCCTAATAAAAATCAATGAGAAAAATACTAAGGCTCAAAAGAAATGAACAGAAAGTCACAGAAGACAGATTGCAAGACTGATAAACATATGAAAAATATTTAGCTGCTCTAGTAATTATGGAAATTTAAATTTAAGTGTAATTTTGTATTGTGTATCAAATTAGCAAAGTTTCTGTTTTATTTTTTAATATAGTGTTCCATGTAAGCAAGTGATGGAGTGCTGGCAAATGCAAATTGGTTCAACCTTCCTGAAAAGCAATTTTGCAATAAGTAGCAAGAGTCTTAAAAAGTGTTTAGTTTTCTATTTCTAGGAATCCATCCTTGTGAAAAAAAATCAGAACACCCGTATGTGTGTTTGTCACAGCACTTTATGTGTGTGTTTGTTGCAGCACTGTTTATCATGGCAAAAAAAAAAAAAACACACCAAAAAGGAAACAACATAAATATGAAAAATTCAGGGAATGTTTACATAAACTTTAAAACATTTATAATATGTGAAATCTTAACAAAAAATGTTCTTGAATCACTCTTGAGGAAAAGAGAAATGGCCACAATATTAAGTGGAAAGACCAGGATACAAAACGTAATACAGTTTGAAGGCGATTATATTATTTAAAAAGTGCAAATATTGGAAAGAAATATATCAAAATGCTAACCGTGGCTATCTCTGGCTGTGAATTTTACAAGTAAATTTTGTTTTCTTCTTTATGCTTTTCTGTATTTCAAGTCTTCTGCAGTGAGCATATATTACTCTTATAATCACAACAAAATACTATCGTTAAATGGGGATATGACATCCTCTTCCCCCTACTTCATAAAACATTAAGCTGCACTAAAAAATGCTCTTGGAACTGGTAAATATTCACAAACTTGGATTATGGTGGACTTGTTTGTTGAATTCATTGTTATTAGAAACTCAAAAGGATTCATAACAGAAAAAATGAATTACCTACATCATGACAGTAGCCCACAGCTAAATAGAAGTGTTGCCATATTTAGAAGTACCACTTCCAAACTGATACCTCAGCTAGCGCTATATCATATGCTCTCAGGAACAGAGAGCAACAACCTTTGCCTTCCTCGTTGATCTCAATCCATCCCTTTATTCCTAACCAATCCCCTACCCAGCATATCCTTCACATCTCCTTCCTGCACCCCTAAGAACAATATTTTGTTCTAAAAATGTTGAAGTGACAAGCAGCTTTCTTCTTACAAATGCACAGAGACAGATGGTGATTTTCGACCTGAGAATGAAAAATAGTGAAAATTTGACAGTGTGTTTCCTCATGCCAAGGAGGAAATACCCTGATCTGTTGGCACAAGAATGTCGATCAGCTTCACAAATATACCCTGAAAGAGAATCAAGGCTTGTTGGAAGATCATAGCCTGAACCTATTCATGTGTCCTGTCGTGTCTGAAAGCAGAATATGTCAAAACTCTAGAGCTTGCAAGGTCAAAGTGCAGGTCTCCCAGCCACCAGCCATGACCCTATGCCCTGGTAGGACCATCTCTACTCCAGAGATACAAAATGAGCAGCTTTCATCCCAGGAATATGGTGAGCATATTTTGAGCATTAGACAGAGTGGACACATTTCATGTGCAAGAGATACATACCTGAAGGCTTGCCTGATTCAAAATTCACGTATTTCAAAACTAATTTTCCCATTAGACTAAATCTAACGTAAAATTTGCAAAATTTTATATTTTTCATTGACTTCGTGAACAAATTGACATAGAATATAACCTCACTCTATAGTCGTTCTCAGAGCTTGAGCAATCCAAGATTCCTTAGTACTCCCTATGATGTCCATCTGAAGCAATGTCCTTCCAGGCTCCGCCCCTGGCTCAGACTGTCTGAAAGCCTTCCTAGCGTCATACCGTGCTCTCCTAGCCCAGTTCAAAGGGGACTGTGGATCTATCTCAAGCCATTTAATCTCATACAAAGTTCCAACACCTAACTCTAGGAACGAAGGAAAGAAGGGAGGTAAGGAGGGACGGAGGGAAGGAAAGAAGAAGGGAAGGAGTAAGGAAACTTTCCACGTTCTTCAGTTTTTCCTGATCCTATTCACCATGCCTAACTCACAGGTGTCCTGACACAGAAATTAGTAAATAGTTGTTGAGTGACTTCATTAATGAAATGAAAATTCAATGCAGTTTTTCATGGAAAGACAGAAGAGGTTGGGTTAATTAATGAAAGGACTTTTGCTATTTTCCTTCATGGATTCTGTCCAGCTTCTTAACTTCACCCGGTGAGATTTTGATATCTAAAACTACAGCACTACCAAAGGGTGTTGTAAAACCCCGGACACACCAAGACGCTGACAACTTACATCAGTTTTACCTAGCAAACAAGGAAAAGTAAATACTGCAGCTCCACTGGCTCATTCACAAAGGGCTCTAAGCAGTCCCTAGCAAAGAAGAAGGCAAGTGTGTTTAGGTACCCTTCTCCTTAGAAATAAGGATGACATCAAGGCCTTGCAACATCAGGAACCATCACCACCCTCTACCTTAAACTGAGCATCCGCTCCCAGCCAGAAATGACCAGCTGTACCCCATACGAAGCCCAGCCTACAACAGTCTGCAGCATCAAGAGTGATGTTTCCTAAGATTCTGGCTTTGTCCTCGCTGTATGACTCTTGTTTTCACTCATTCAACAAATGGTCATCAAGCACCTGCCTTATGCCAGGCACTGTGCTAGGTTCTAGGCATGCAAAAGTGACCAAAGACAGATATAGTCCTTGCTCTCGTGGATCATACACTAATGAAGTCAGGAAAGTTATATGTAATTGGAAACTGAGACAGATGCTCTGAAGAGAAGGAATGTGACTCTCTGAGGTCATACGCACTTGAGTCATGTTAGCCTACCCTCTCCCACCCCCACCCTCACCTCCATCCCTAGAATTTCCTTCACTGAGTGGTCCTTTAGCCATATGCCCTCAAGTTTTTTATCAAAAAACTATCTATGCAAAGATCTTTGTTATATTACGTATTATATTATATATTTGAGTTTATATTACATTAACTCAAATTTTTGTTGAGTACGGTTTCTAGTATGTTGCCCAATGCAACTTTCTGTAAACTCCTGAATTTGTTCACAGAATGGATATTCCTGTTTGTTTTATTTTTTAATTGTATTAGCCTTATTATGTATACATTTTGTGTTTATATATATATATGTATACACACACACAAATACACACACATATATATGTATATAGGTAAATACACATGCTATATACACATGTGCGTACACATATTTAGGCCAGAGACCATAACAGCACTCCAACTGATTAGAAAGGAGTCCCTGTGGGGAAAAGTAAATGTGTTTGGCGCAAGCAGGCAGGCACGAAAGTAAGGAATTCACACTTAGTCTTTAAGTGATGACGTGACATGATAAAAAAAAAAAAATTGTTTGAAAAGATTAGTGTACCAATAAGATAGAAAATGAGAAAGAGATCAAAGGGGGAGAGTGATGCTAGGAGTGGGAGAGGGTAAGGGAAAGAAATACAGTCCACCCTCCATATCCATGGATGCAGAACCCGCAAATATAGAGGGCCCACTGTACTGCACCATTTCATAGAATGGACTTGAGCATCTCTGGATTTTGGTGTTTGCTGGGGTGGGGGGTGTGTCCTGGCACCAATCCTACGTGAATACCTAGGGACTACTGTACTGTGGACACTGTGTGTCACTTTTTAGAATTAAGAAATGTTCCCAAGTGGGAGAGAAAACAAAAGTGTCTTAGGGAAAAGGAGGGATCAAGATTATGAGGGGGCAGGGGAAAAAGAAGAAATGGGAGAAACTGACAAGGGGGAAAAAGAAAGTTTATCAAATTAGAAAAAGGAAAGAAGACCCACCTCTAAGAGTTCCAGTTTACCTTTCCACTTCATCAGTAGCATTTTCTTGTGCCTTCTAGAAATGTAACTTGTCAAGTATTTAATACTTTAGATAGTGAAAATAATAATTATATACTTAAAATATTTTAATTAAGACTTGGTTGATTTTAATTAAAAAGAAAGCAAACACGTATGTCAAAAACTACCATAGTGTTTAAGAAGAAACTTTGAGAAGAACTTTTGTTGACACATGTGTTTTTAGTGCAGGAATCCTGTCAGTAAGATACAGAAAATGAAACTAGGCCTACACTTGGTGTAAAGAACTCTCCACCAAGAAGACAAAATTCATCTGTAAATTTAGTTTTATACACACTCTACCTCTTGTGAAAATATTCTTAGATGTTTGATAGTGAGGGACAGAGGGCTTCTGCAACATGTCACTTCTATTTACCAAGACTGTAATGTGAACCTTGAGACTGCGTGTTTGTTATGGAAAACTGTATTTGCTAGAATATTTACTATAAATAATTGAATCTGTTCACTTAAAGTTTTAAACTGACAGCTGTAAAAATTGAATTTGTTCCCCAGTTATTTTAGGATTAACCCACAGATGGTGACCTCACTAACCTTGTTTTAATTCATCTCACCGATATATAAACAATGTAAACTTCCTTGTTGGGAAAAATATGTAAGATTTGCCTTGCTATCCAGAATACTTTTCAATCGATTTTATTGAAGAACTTTTTACAAACTATATAAAATTGCATTCATCCAAAAGCCCTTAATTTTGTGCTCTGCTCTCCAATGCAACCACATAGGTTGAATGCCATCCATATTTCACCCAGCCAAAACTCTTGAAATTTTGCCAACAACATGACATTGTCATTATTGCATACAGCCCTTTGGGGACCTCTAGGAATCCATCCTGGTAAGTAATGCTGTCTGTCTCCTCAGGAAGTATATTTCCTTGGTGTAGAGTATGAGGCTAATGTAAATTACTTGACTGAAATGACTCTATTCAGCTGTGTGATCTTAAGGAAGTAATTTCTTCAAGTCATTCTCCACATATGCAAATTAGAGCTAACAAAACCTTCCTCACTGAGGTGTTGTAATAATTGATTAGACTCTACCTGTAGAAGTGCCTACCAGTACCTTATTATTTGACAAAGAGTCTCTATGGCCATATTCCAAAATTTTTGAAATCTCTGTATTCAGTGGCAACACTTCTACTGTGATGCATTCCACAGACTTAAGTAGAAATTCTTCTACTCTAAGATGATTCCAAGAGTTGTGCCTTTGTTTCTTCTACTTCAGTCTTCTTGCCTTCCCCTGTGTGCCTACTTCCAACCCCATTCTCTCTATAAGATCCATCAAAGCAATATTATTTACCGTCTGGAAGAGGCAGCTCTGAATCTGCCTGTCTTGATCTTCTCAGACTAAGAGCAAGTCTTCTGAATACTCTGCACTCAGAGAAGTTGGTTACAGGTGACCTGAAGTGTTCTGGATAGGTTACCAGGTGAATGGGGGTCAGAGGAGGAGGGTGATTGGTAAACCACTGGTTCTCATTACTCGGACTAAATATGATGCATGTTTCGATTTTTTTTTTTTAAAGGGTGAATGTGTCTTCCCCACCTTTGTTAAAGGATGCACTTCTAAACTCACTGGGGAAAAAATACAATAAGACAGCAGCTCAAGTTGTTTTGCGTTTCAACATCCAGCGAGGAGTGGTTGTCATTCCTAAAAGCTTTAACCCTGAAAGGATCAAAGAAAACTTTCAAGTAAGAGAACTGCTTCTGGAAATGTAAAAAGTAGGGTATTATTTTTTTTAGAGAGAATTTTGTGTTCAGATTATTAAGAAAGTTGCAATGCCTTCATATGTTATTTTATACCTGCTCCCCGACCCCCTCCGCCCACACCTGGATTTAATTTTAGCTGAATTTGAGACAATTCCTAGTAATTCAGGTATTTCTTTGCTGCTTGTAGGCTATCTAGCTCCCTTATTTCTTCTGTTTCCTTACCTATTGACTCTGGACACTACCTACTCCCTTCCCCACCAGCACAGCAGGAATAGAAGGTATAAAATTGGAAATTCATAACAGTCAACTTTCCACCTTCTTAATGGCTCTGGAAAAAGTTGGGGACAAATTTGGAAATTATTGAAGAGGATCATTTAGACTTCATAAATGCTAACCCCCTTTATTTCCTCTATAAGTAATCTGTAATCAGCATTATATATATAGGTGAGAAAAGAGGCCACTAGACAATGGAGTGATTAGTTTACTGTGCTACTTCCAAAGAATAAACTGCTAGGTAAATGCAGCCATAGAGAAGTACCATGTAGAGTTAATCAGTTACCCATCAGTTAATAATTTAAATTTCAAAAGTAAGTTGTTTTTTGTCTTACTCATAATTAAAGATAAAAATGAGATAGTATTTATCCCCTCAGATAGGAAAATAATCAGAATGTTAACAGTGTGTGGGAAAACAGGCAGTTTCATATAATACTATTAGAAACATAAAATGATGTAAGATTTGGAGAAGGATGTCATTTTTCCAGATCCATCAAAATTCAAACATACATGTCCATTGACCCAACAATCTTTTTCCCATAGATGTATTTGCATATTCATGCACACATACACAGATGTTTATTACAGCATACTTTATCAGCTAAAAAAAACTGGAAACAATTTTCAATAGGATATTGTAAAACAAATTATGATATATTTGTACAATGAAACAGTATATAGGCATTTTTATTTATTTTTCTTTTTTAACAGAACTCTACTGAGGTGTAATTGAAATGCAATGAACTGAACATAAAGTATAAAATTGGAAAAGTTTTGACATATGTACACACCCATGAAACCATCACCACGATCAAGATAATGAACATATCCAGCACCTCCAATAGTCTCTTCATGCCCTTTTATAATCTATCCCTCCTGGTCCCCAATCCCAAGCAAGCACTGATTTTCTTTCTATCCCTATAGGCTAGTTTGCATTTCCTAGAATTTCAAATAAATGAATTCACACAGTATGTGTGCTTTTATATCCATTTTTAAATAATAAAGTGAAAATATAAGTACTGACATGGGAAGACATCCATGCTATTAGACAATTATCTTCAGAGCTTTTTTGCTACCACATGAAGGAATGAAATTCAAATTTACCAAAGAAAAAGAGACATAATTTATTGGCTCTCATAACTGGGAAGTCCCTGGGTAGGTCAGACATGACTGGACACAGGTATTCTAATGATTTATAAAAGGATTGAGTTCTCCCCACCCCCTTTCTCCACATGGTGGCACACACAGATTAATATGGGTTAATCTGTTACCCACATTTAGTAAAGATGATCACAGATAAAGGCTTCTGTCTCTATCAATCCCTGCTTGTCCTTTTATGGGTCATTGGCTACTCCCATAATAATCACTGTGTCTAATGAAAAAGATACCTTGATTGGTCCCCTAGGCTACATCCCTATTCTTGTGCTGAAGGAGGTGAGGTCATGTGACAAATAGCCCTAGTAGGTGCGGGAAGGTGTTAAAGAAAAAGGAAGCTTGTAAGGATTTCTTTTATAAGTGACTGGTTCATTCATGACTGTTTTTATGTTATAATAAATTTCCTTCTACAATCTCATAACTCCAATTCTTGGATAATAAATAATCAAAGGAAAGAATGCTCTGAAAAGACCACTTGGAAACAATCCTTGGGGGAATGACTAAGTAAATCATATTACATCTATACTACGGATATAGTAGTTAAATAAATAAAGTCAGTCTATATATTTTGACAGAAAAGATCACCAAGACATATTATTTGAATGAGATAAAGCTGCAGAATAATAGAAATATGATACAATTGCATTTTGCTGTTGCTGTGTTGAATGTTTGGAAGGAATCTGTGGGAAGGGGAATAGGACTGGGGTGGTGGGTATCAAGAGGCACTTTTGTTTCTTTTACTCCATACATGTCCATGTATTTCTGTAGTGTTTCATTTCTTTACAAAAAGCATATATTCATATATTACTTTTACAATTAAAATTTATTCATGTAGGGCTTCCCTGGTGGCGCAGTGGTTGAGAGTCCGCCTGCCGATGCAGGGGACACGGGTTCGTGCCCCGGTCTGGGAAGATCCCACATGCCGCGGAGCGGCTGGGCCCATGAGCCATGGCCACTGAGCCTGCGCGTCCGGGAGAGGCCACAACAGTGAGAGGCCTGCGTACCGCAAAAAAAAAAAAAAAAAATGTATGCATGTAAATTACTAAATTAAACGTTAAGGGATAGAAAGATAAAATAATAATAGAAATTATAAACAAATCAACTGTTAAAAATATAAATAAGCTAAAATAAACTATTAAAATGTTCATAAAGGACAATTATAAAACCAAGGTACAAACTGTACAAGCTAAAAAAAAAAACAATGAAAAAGTAATTAGAATTAAAAGGTAGATAAAGAGACACTAAAAATGACAAGAGAAAGGATTAATATGATGAACCAAAGCAAATTAAAAGTTAAAAAAAATACATAAGCAAATTTAGAGACTAGGGAATATTTTTGTTAAAAAAAAAAAAAAGTGCACGAAGGCCATAGTCCAGAATCAAAAGTTCAGCATCTTATACCAAAATAATAAGAATTCTTCACTTTTAGATTTTTAGGAGATGTTCTGAATGTGTATTGTTTCAGAACATTTGAAATTTCTTGCAAGATGTCCCCAGCAGGATTGTCTTAAAGACGAAGGGCAGAAAGAATTCCACCTCCACATGGGTGGGGTGGCCCCCCCGCACTAGCCCAACTCCTCTAAGACATTTGCAGAGATGTTCATAAATCTTTGAAGGGCTCCCACTGCCGGCCTCACTCCCTGATCCCAAGCTTGACCCATCTTCTACTATTATAAATGTCTGTTTTTTTGTTTCTGTTATTTCAGATCTTTGACTTTTCTCTCACTGAAGAAGAAATGAAGGACATTGAAGACCTGAATAAAAATGTCCGCTTCGTGGAAATGCTCATGTGAGTTCTGGGGGATCATTGATCAGGTTCTGTGCAGTGATGTTGGATTGTCAAGCGTCAACCAACAGGCTCTCATGAACCGGGACCATGTCCATGGAAGGCACAAGGGTAAAGGCCGGTGGGCAGCATGTTCTGAATTAGGAACTTCCTACAAACCTGCATTTTTGCTTAAAAGAATATTTTTGACGTTTATGACATTCCCATTGGTTAGGTTAAGGCATCACAGGCTAAAAACATTGAGGAGAATTAAATCAGTTTTCGTTATGTTAATACAACAGCAGCACAGATATGCAAACAACATACTTATTTCTTCCTTAGAAATCAAAGTGGGCACAAATTAGAGCAAAGCTGTCAACAAGAACAATTCCTGGGAGAGAGGCATTAGAGTGCAGTAGAAAGAGCACCAGGTTGAGTTTTAGACAAATGTTTGCCTATAAGATTTGGAGCTTCTGGCTTCACCTATTGTCTGACTTCCCACAAGCAAAATTCCTTCCAAGTGTTGCCAAATTTAACTATCAACTGAAGTAACCCTTTATTCTCTGAATATTACAGAGCCTTAAAAATAAAAAAAAAGAACATAGTTCATGTATATATACACACGTATATATTTGTATACATACATACCCACATTTTTTCTTCTTAATCATTCTTCATTAATATTTCCAGTTCTTGAAATCACCTGGATAGTATTCTTCTTTTTACAATCTTCTCTTTGAGTGTGCATTTAGAAAATGCTCGTTAAGATGGTTCGTATAGTTTGGGCGCTTATCTTATCGGTCCCACTATTTTTCATGAGTCAGAAAGTGCGGACTATGCTAACACTGAATTTCTGAATCAATTTCTGAATTAATAAACAGCTTTCTAATGTGAATTTTCCAGGGGAAAAACTATTTGAAATCAAGAAGCACCTCCTAGCCTCAAGAACATAAAAGTAAACACAAACACAGAACTAACCCTTACACGTTAATTAACAGCTCTTGAAGATAAACTATTTCTATTGAATAAATATCATTAAATTAAAAATAGTAAGAGATAGCCAATCCTCCAATATGCTGTTTTGTTTTGTTTTTTTACAGTTGGTTAGTGACATTATTTGGTTTGACATTTTGTTTATTTATTTATGGCTGTGTTGGGTTCTCGTTGCTGCACGCGGGCTTCCTCTAGTTGCGGTGAGCAGAGGCTACTCTTCGTTGCGGTGCGTGGGCTTCTCATTGCAGTGGCTTATCTTGTTGCGGAGCACGGGCTCTAGGCGCACGGACTTCAGTAGTGTGGCACGCGGGCTCAGAAATTGTGGCGCACAGGCTCAGTAGTTGTGGGACACAGGCTTAGTTGCTCCATGGTATGTGAGATCTTCCCGGACCAGGGCTCCAACCCATCTCCCCTGCATTGGCAGGCGGATTCTCAACCACTGCACCACCAGGGAAGCCCGACCTTTGACATTTTTAATACCTAATTCTAGCAACACTGGGAAAATAACTCATCACATCTGGAAATAACTAGAAAAATCAGCAAGGAGAAACAAAGATTAGGCCCCATTGATCAAAAAAATGTATCATTTAGGGATGCTGGGCCAAGGTTCTGCTGCTTTTCATCTGGCTGATCCTTGATATTTGAGAGCCTTCTCTGGTTTTGTTTTATATTTTGATTTAAAGCTCATAGTACTTGCAGAGAACTAAATCTTAGGTGTGCTTCAGTACAGGCACACACACACTCCAGTCCTTCTATAGACTGTTTCGCCATTTTTATTTAAGAGGTAGCTTCATCATTATCATCACTGTCATCATCATCATGGAAACTTACTTTGCTGGTCATCAACTTTCTAAATCTCAAACTTTCAACTCTCAGGAGGCCTAGTGATAGGGGCAAGTAAAAACTCTGAGAAGAGACTGACACTGATTCATGATAGAGTTTTTTTGTTTGTTTGTTTGTTTTTGCGGTACGCGGGCCTCTCACTGTTGTGGCCCGGAGCACAGGCTCCGGACGCGCAGGCTCAGCGGCCATGGCTCACGGGCCCAGCCGCTCCGCGGCATGTGGGATCTTCCCGGACCGGGGCACGAACCCATGTCCCCTGCATCGGCAGGCGGACTCTCAACCACTGCGCCACCAGGGAAGCCCCATAATAGAGTTTTGAAGAGAAATGCTTATGTGGTTTATTGAAATGGGAGGCAGTTTATATCAAGAGAGCAGAAGGAGGAAGAAGTTGGGACAAAGTGTGTAAGTAGGCAGGTATTGCTCACCTCCTGTGCTTTTGTTTTAAGAAAATGTTAATGTGGAGACAACTAGCCTTCTCCCCTCAATCCCCCCACCCCACACTTACACCCAGGGTGCTATCTGGGGCTTCAGTAAAAGGTGCTGGCTTAAGGGGAAACAGGGGAGGAGAATGGGCACGAAACAGAAATGGAATGAGTAAGAGAAAGAGGGAATGGTTGGTAAAGTTACCAAAGAATGCTAGTAACACATACAGCCATGCAGCATTTGAAGTGAACTTTTTCCCTTTGGGGGAATTGTTTTGGCAGGTGGTGTGACCATCCTGAATACCCATTTCATGATGAATACTGACTTCAGAGAGCTCCGCAACAGATATTTTCCCTCTATGTGTGCCAGGACTTTGGGCTGGGTGGTTCCTCCAGCTATGGAAATCAAAGGAGTTTACTATCCTCAGATGAAATGGTGATGGAGACACACTTAACTTTTGTGTAGTGTAAGTGACTTTGACTTAGCTATGTGGGGGGAAAAAAATAGGTTTAAATCTGTTGAAATAACTTGGAAATTATCAGCTAATATTTTATTAAATCAATGTCTTCTGGGTTTCAGAAAGAAAAATATTAGGCTTTAGAAAAGACTTCAAAGGCAACATATGAAGATAAATAACACATGAATTCGGATACTGCTGCCATGGGTAGTCTGAGTTCTTTAGCAGTTAACAGGGCAACAGCAAGGATGGAGAGCTGGACCATGCCAGTGTGCTGGCAGTGGTCTTGATGGTTTGGACCATTGACTGTAATACAGACACAGCCAAGGTAAGATCCACACATGCATTATTAACAGGGAAGTGATTTGCTTCACCTTGAGTAGAGAGAGAGGGCTAAGTATAGAAAAGTCTTACTATAGAGCTAATTAAACACCACAGCGGTCAACAAAGCCATACTGATTTGATTGTTGTTTGTTTCCATCCAATGTGTGTTCGTGTAGCTTTTATCCAGCTTGAAAGATGGATAATTGCTTGTTCTCTCTTGCATGTTTTAAAGGGCCTGAGCTTCAGTAAGCTAGTGATCTATGCTAACACTGCCTGCAACTCCTGCCCCCATTCATTATATGACCACCATTATGCAAAGTGGCTTGAGACAACCTGCATACCCTGTATTGTAAAATAGTCCACAGACCATTATTTCAAAGAAGACATATAAAAAGGAAGCTTTAGGAAACATATTGAAAGAAGAGGTTTTATAGAATCATTAGACTTAAGACTTTGAAAGTTATTGGGATAACTGAATTTTGAGAAAGTAGCAAGTTCAAAAGAACACTGATAATTTTACTATATGTAAATTTTTTAAGTGAATAAAATGATTATTAGAATTCCATAGTAGAGATGTGCCTATTTTCAGTCCAGCCAGAGCAGTATATTTTATTCATTCATATTAAGTCACTCTCACAGGGCAAGAGAGCGCTTCAAAACTTCAAAACATCAAAACAAACTTATGTTTGTCCAAGATCAATTGCTTATAATCTTCCATGATCTGAAAACGTACATTTCTGAGAAACTATCGTTTTAAAAAATTGATCTCTACTTATTGTTTCCAATAATTCTAATATGAATACTTATAATGCTATTCTCTGGAAAATATCTCATTCACAAGAAATAATAAAAATGATGATTTATTCTACCACATGAATCTCCATTTTGTTGCTTGGGGTGGGGGGAATCATCTGAATTCATTTAAATTAGAGACCTTTGGTTGAATTCCTACTGTACATTTAGCACTGGGAAGATAGGGAAGATAGGAAGAAAAGGGAGTACCATAATGAAAGAACAGAAACTCAAGTCCTGACCTCTACTGTCAAAACTCTTCAAAATATTTCAGGGGGCTGGTGTGGAAGAAGGACCACACCTATCAAACCATTTTTTAAAGACAGGCATTGGAAAAGAGTCCCACTATTTGTCAGGAGAAATGTATACATGTATTTCTAAAGATTGGAAGAGGGGAATTCTGTCTTAGTCTTAACAGAGATGGAGGAAAAAGAGTTGGAGACAGAAAACAGAAGGTCAGGAAAGAGTGATCCTGGTCTGCATGAGTTTCTGCATGTCACTTCTCCCTTCACTCTCATTCCTCTCAAGCTTCCCAACTATTTTGGGATAAATTGTATGCCCCCAAAATTCATATGTTGAAGTACTAGCCCGTAGTACCTCAGAACGTGACCTTATTTGGAAATAGGGTCATTGCATATGCGATTAGGTAAGATGAAGTCATACTGGAGTACGGTAGACACTAATCCAGTATGATTGGTATCCTTATAAAAAGGGGAAACTTGGACACAGGCAACACACAGGGAGAGCACCACGTGCAGATAGAGGCAGAGGTCAGGGTGATGCTTTTACAAAGATGTCCAGCAAACCACCAGAAGCTAGGTGAGAGGCATGGACCAGATTCACCCTCATAGCCCTCAGAAGGAACCAACCCTGCCAACACCTTTATCTCGGACTTGTGGTCTCTAGAACTGTGAGGCAATAAACTTCTGTTATGTAAGTGGCCAGTTTGTGGCACTTTGTTCAAGCAGCCCTAGCAAGCAAATATACCATCTCTCAGTAAAGATTTCCAGTCTCTCAAGCTGACACCAGCAGTAAAAATGGCCTTACTTAGTCAATGCTTCACTGAGCTCAGGTATTGATGACCAATATTTTTGACCTTCTTGGGGACTTTTGCAACCCCAAAGATGTTTGTTAACCCAAATCAATCTCTTTCCTAATCAGAGGCCTCTAATGGAATATGGAGTAAGATACATCAATAGTTACATAACCTGCCTGGAAAAGGAGAGGAGGCCAACAGCGTACCCACTGATCCATAAAAACACATGGACCAGAAGAGCAAGGACTTTCTGCCCCAGCCCGCAGAATGTTTTTTGTTTGCCCATCACTGACTATTCTCCTTGGAAGACCTCCCTCAGGCACTGTCTTCCATAATGACACAGAGGTTATTGGAAGAGGCCACAAGAGGCACATAGGCACCAATCCCAAGTCTGCAGGCTTCAACACTGCGACGTGCTGCACACTTCATGACCACAGTTATGGAAATGTAAAAGGTTGAGGTAAATTATATTTCCCAGGCTTGGTATTTCTCTGGAACTCCCTTAAAATTTCAAGCTTTCACTGGTGACTTCAATTTCTGACCATTCCAAACTAGTAACTAAATCATGATATCTTGTGGAGCCCTGGTCCTTGCATGTGAACCCTCCCGGAATCTGAACTGTACCCACCATGTTTCTACCTCCAGATACCAAATCCCCAAGTTCTCACTTCTCTTGATGGGGGCAAGGGGTGAGGAGGGATAGGATAATCTCCTCTGGGCACTGGTATTTTAGCTAGATTGAGAGCTGAAATGCAGAATATGGTGGGAGGTATGGTGGGAGTAGCAGTGGTCTTGACAAAAGTACATGGACTTTTCAGGTCCCCCCTTAAATCTGGCCATTGGTAAATCTTCCTACAAAGACTATGTGGCATCCTTAGGAGCATGAGGGCCCCTTTAATTCTGTCTTGGGGGTTGTCAGGAAGAGATAAAATTGCCAAAGGACAATTTGGAGCTGGGTAGCCCTCACTTTATGTCCTGCTGAAGTTGGTCACATGTTGGTCAGAGAGGAGCAGCTAGTGGAAATGATTGAACATATGTTTTTAAACTGTGTTGTGTGTGTGTGTTGCTATTTGATATGTACTATTGAGCATTTTTTATTGACATTCGTATATAAGACTATTGTGTAGTTTTGTGTATACTCTTTAGTTTCTATTATCAAATTGTGCTCCTTTCATTGTTAAAAGGAGAGAGTGAGATTTTCTTTCACACTCTCCACTCTAGAACAAATTAAATTTAAATGATTTATTTCCTAAAATATTGGTGGAATTCACCTGAGAATTGCCTCTCTGTCAATAGAGAGCCTGTACATTTTCTATTTCATCTCAAATCAATTTTGCAAATTTATCTTCTTCTATAATTTATCAATGTCACATATTTAGCATACGGAGGTATATTTGTTCATTTAGTCAACAAGATTTTTGTGTGCCACTATGGTAGGCTCTATCCTTGGCAGTTGGGATATTTCAGTAAACAAAAGTCCCTGAGCTCTCATACACGCCCGTACTCTTCCAATTCCTTTAATTTTCCTAAACATGTGGTCACCTCCCTCTTGCAATTCTTCTTTTGTATGTCTATGGTCTTGTTTTGTAATTAATGGTTTATCAAGTTATTTTTTATTTTTTCTGGATTTCATTTAGACCAAATTTCCCAAAGGAAAGAAAATTCATTGACTACTTCTGTCTTTCTGTTTCTTAATTCATTCATATCTCATTTTCTTTTACTTATCTCTTGTCTGTTTTTTATAACTCATCCATAGACTTCTAACTTCTTAGGTTGAATATTTATTTCATTGATTTTTGTTAGTTTTTCTTGTATAGTAATATAAACATTGAATATAATGAATTGTCCATTGAGTACTGTTTTAGTTAAGATTTCTTAAGTCGATTTTGTAATTTTACAGATATTCTGAGTTTGGGGTTTGCTTTCTTCTTTAATCGTTGTTTACAAGAGTTCCTGTCTTAGTTTAATTTCTAGTGTTAGAGCTTTTTTTCTAGCTTTTATATTCTACTTTTAATCATGCTGAGCTCAGATATCATCAGTCAATGTTTTCAACATTTCATGGAATTGTGACAAGATACATTCTATTTTAAAGTATTGAGTTGGATATAACGGACATATAATCCTGTGTTATACATTTTTATCATCTAGTATTAGAAGAGCTATTTGAGTGAGTGGTTCTTTCTTTTAAACAGTGATTCTTAACTAGGTGTTAAGAGATTTGGCAATGTCTGGAGACATTTTTGATTGTTACAACTGGTGGGGGTGGGGAGAGGTGATATTGGCATCTAGTAGGAAGAGGCCAGGGATGCTGCTAAACATCCTACAATGCACAGAACAGCTCCCACAACAAAGAAATGTAATTTTTGCTGAGATTGAGAAACCCTGCTATCAGAAGAGTCTTTCTTGATAGATGTTAAAATGTGCCGATTCCTAATGCCATAATTTCAATATATTGCATATAACTGAAAACTAATCCATTTAGCCTTGTTTATAGTGCTTGAAGTAAACTGTCCACCTTTTACATGGACAGTTTGAACAAACTGTCCAGCTATGTTTTTTTCTTGTGTATTTTATCTTTTCTCAGATTATTAAACTGCTAATGGATGCCATGCTTTTAGTATTTGAGTTTAAAACACATGGGCAAGCGAGCCCCAATGAAAATAAGTTAATGCAGGAAACCAGGCTTTCCTGGTGACTCAGTGGTTAAGAATCCACCTGCCAATGCAGGGGACACGGGTTCAAGCCCTGGTCCGGGAAGATCCCACATGCCGCAGAACAACTAAGCCTGTGCACCAAAACTACTGAGCCTACACTCTAGAGGCTGTGAGCCACAACTACTAAAGCCTGCATGCCTAGAGCCTGCACTCTGCACAAGAGAAGCCACCGCAATAAGAAGCCCGCGCACCGCAGGAAAGAGTAGCCCCCGCTCGCCGCAAATAAAGAAAGCCCGTGCACAGCAAAGAAGACCCAAGGCAGCCAAATATAAATAAATAAATTAAAAAAAAAATAATTTCTTCAGTATGAGTCAAGAGAAAAATTGCTCTAATAACAGACCACCATTGAAAAATAGAAGCAATCTGAAAGATTAGATTAAGCTGGTAATCTACTTTCATTCTTGTCCCAAATTTCTTTCTTTATTATTTATTTATTTATTTATTTATTTATTTATTTATTTATGGCTGCCTTGGGTCTTCCTTGCTACACGCGGGCTTTTTCTAGTTGCAGCGAGCGGGGGCTACTCTTCCTTGCAGTGCGCGGGCTTCTCATCGCAGTGGCTTCTCGTTGCGCAGCACAGGCTCCAGGCACGCGGGCTTCAGTAGTTGTGGCACATGGGCTCCATAGTTGTGGCTCACGGGCTCTAGAGCGCAGTCTCAGTAGTTGTGGCGCACAGGTTTAGCTGCTGTGTGGCATGTGGGATCTTCCCGAACCAGGGCTCAAACCCGTGTCGCCTGCACTGGCAGGCAGATTCTTAACCACTGTTCCACCAGGGAAGTCCCCCCAAATTTCTTGAAATAACTAAGCAGAGAGCCAATTAAATAGACTAAGTCTATAGCACCTCTCTAAAATAAAGAAAGGGTACCATCACTGAACCCCAAATCCTTAAGATAAGAAAGCCGAGGTAATTGGATTGACAAAGAAGTAAGAGTAGACCACAGTAGCCTAACGTACTTGCCGGAAACAACTGCTACAAAGGTAATAGCAATTTTAGACATGCTTCAAGTTTAGAATAAAACAATAATAGTAGAAGTTCCCATGACCTCACATCTGACAGGACTATCCCCTCTATACAAACAGTTCTGAGGGGCTCCCAAAAGCCATGTTTGTTTGTTTTATTTATTTATTTATTTATTTATTTTTGGCTGTGTTGGGTCCTCGTTGCTGTGCCCAGGCTTTCTCTAGTTGTCATGAGCAGGGGCTACTCTTCTTTGCAGTGCACAGGCTTCTCATTGTCTGGCTTCTCTAGTTGCAGAGCACGGGCTCTAGGTGCGCAGGCTTCAGTAGTTGTGGCACATGGGCTCAGTAGTTGTGGCTTGTGGGCTATAGAGCTCAGGCTCAGTAGTTGTGGCGCACCGGCTTAGTTGCTCCGTGGCATGTGGGATCTTCCCGGGCCAGGGCTTGAACCTGTGTCCCCTGCATTGGCAGGCGGATTCTTAACCACTGCACCACCAGCGAAACCGGCCATGTTTGTTCTTCAGGCTGAAACCTATTTCTTTCTAATCAAAGTGAATACTGTTCCAGAAGAGAGCAGGTAACTCAATATTGAGACTGGAGAAACAGATCACAACCTGGGAAACTTCAAAAAAACACACAAAAGGTAGGATTAAAAAAAGAAAAGAGCAAAGCTGATTTTGGCATTTACTTCCAGGATAAAGCTGTGGAGTGGGGGAGGCGGAGAAGAAGTGACAATGGCGGGAGGATTAAAGGCTACCCGTGGCCATGTGAGAACCAGCATATATAACTGAAGCAGAACAGATTTTACTACCTCAAAATACTCCACATGGGCTTAAGAATTATTTTGTGCTGAAGACAATTGAGAAGAAACAGATAGAAGAAATCTGTCTTCCCCCGATTTGCCTAAAAGGAGGAAATAAACTTACAAAGTGTCCCTCCTCCCTCTCTACCAGGAAGGACAAAAGTTGAACTGCTAGAGACAACTTTAGATCCTTATCAGTCTGGAGATGGGACCAGAGGAATTTACATAACAAACTTTGCTAACTAGACCTTATTATCTTCTGTTAGTCTCCCATATATTTGTCCTCCCATGATTTGCTGCCCCTAGACTCAAAGTCCTTGTCTTTTGTCTTGTCACTTCTCAAAAAATATATTGCTCTTTTGTTAAGAAGTTATGTAAGACCTAGTTCTAACCAAGCCTTTGAGTTACTCATCTCTGGGAACTCCCATGTGTAACATGCATGAATACATATGTCTGTAAACTTCTGTTTGTTTTTCTCTTGTTAATCTGTCTTTTGTCAGTCCAATCTACAGGGCTCCAGCTGGAGAACCTAAGATGGGTAGAGGAAGAGATTCGTCCTCACCTATAAGACTATGTCAGGTAGAAGCTCGTAGTTTCCTTTTAATAAGGGAGGCAAAGAAGCCAATGACATGAGCAATCATCATGGAAGCCATAAGACCGGTTGTCTCCTCTTGCCAACTCCACCTGCCTTCTGGGCACGAAGCCTCTGAAAGAAAAGTTAAACTCTAAGGTGAACTATGGAAAACTGAGGAACAAGAGCAGAACACAGTTTACACCAGCCAACTCCAAAGAAGACAGCAACAGGGCTTTGCCTAAAACGGCCTTGAGCAATTGGTAGTCTAGGAGGCAGAACCATATAGCTACGAGGCTCCAAATGCACTGCTGATATTCAAAATTCCAGAAGCATTCTTCAAAGGTGTGTGGCATGAAAAGGACGGCCCATATACACAGGTGTCATCAGTCACAGCTGCACCTATTAGCACCATCAATTTCCACCTCCATTCCCAGGCTTTTTAAACTGGAAACTGCATTTTGACCAGGTGGTAGACCCTGCCAGGAATGCCTCACACGTATTTCCTTTGGGGTAAGCCCCTAAACACAGGTTTCTAACTGAGTAATGTTAAAGAACAGCTCTGGGCTAATACCTAAGGATCTTGCACGTATCCACACAGGCACTTAGGCAAAGCTTGATCTGCAGCTGATCTGAGTCTTGGCCGAACATCCTGGGTCCTCTGAAAACAAGAGTGTGCTGGAGGCATGTGAGGAGCTGCTACCAGGCCGTTTCTCACTCAGTGCCCTATCTGCCAAGAAGGAGGCCACAGTGAGGCAGTTTCTCATCTTCTGCCAGGTTTTGATGAGGCCTGAGGCCTCTGACTCACCCCTTGGGGTCCAGCTGCAGACTATAAAGTACCTTAGCAGCAACATAGCAGTGGCCATTCAGCAACAGGATAGACCATCATTCATGTTGCAATCATCTGGACCCTTTTGTTTTGGTGTTGCCCTACTCCAGAGACTAAAGGGAGGAGATTGCCATCATCATAGGGACATAGAAACTGAACAAAAAAAAAAAAAAAAAAAAAAAAACAGCGAGATTATGCTACTATAGAAAAAAATTATAAAACTACTTAGATTCCAATAATGATTCTCCCTCAAGGGTCCTGCTGGTACATAATTATATCTTTGTTTCTTTAACTGATCAATATTCCTAATAGTGACGCCATTTCCATATTAGAGTCTCCTGCTTTGTCACCGTTGCAAGTCTAGCTTGCACAAGAGTTGGTAAAATTTCCCATATTATAATTTTTTTTTTTTTTTTTTTGCGGTACACAGGCCTCTCACTGTTGTGGCCTCTCCCGTTGCGGAGCACAGGCTCCGGACGTGCAGGCTCAGCAGCCATGGCTCACGGGCCCAGCCGCTCTGCGACATGTGGGATCTTCCCGGACGGGGGCACGAACCCATGTCTGCCTGCATCGGCAGGCGGACTCTCAACCACTGCGCCACCAGGGAAGCCCTCCCATTTTGACCAAAAATATGTCTTATCTACCTCCAGGAAGAATTAATAAACTAGATTATAAGAGTTATTAAAATTTAATGGAGCAAGTTTTTATTCCAATTATCTAGTGAAACAACATTAATATATCAAATATTAATATAAATCTGAAGAAAAATGCAAAAATTTCTAGGTTTGTTTTTTTTTTTTGCTTTTTTATGATTTATTTGTAGTCTCTAAGGGGGAAAAATGTCTTGCTAAGGTAGTGACAGAAAAAAATGTTTTAAGAGAAGCTTATGATAATTGGTTACTTGGAAATATGTCAAGAGCAAAAATTGTTTTTAAAAAACTTAAAAATTTTAATAACTGGTACATAGTTATATAGGGAAAAGTTTTATATAATAAGATGATACCTTGGATAAATTAGACTGGTTTAATCTTTTGGTTTAGAAATAGCTATCTTTTCTCTGATTTTACCAGTATAATACTATTTAGCATATTTTCTTGGGTTTATTTTCTAATAAAAAAAGCTAATTAATTTGAGTTTTCTAGATTTCCTCTACTGATTTTAATGGTCAAATAAGCCAATTCATAATAGATTATAAAATATTAAAATTATGTGTCAAAATAAATTGAATTATAATAGGTAATTCTTTATAAGAGGGATTCTTACAATGCTATAAATCATATAGACTAATGTGTCAGCATAAATTATAATATCCAAATCCTTACTTTTAAATACTTAAACTAATATTAAATTGTGTTAATCACTGAGTTATATTTGGGTACCTGAAAAATTTCTAGGTAAGATAAAGACAAAACATTGATCACTAAACATATTAGTTTACCCTCTTCCTTATTTTTACAAAAACTATAGAATGGCAATCAGCAGATTAAAGGATGAACTTGCCCTTAAATGAAAATATACATGAATATTTTTGCCAACTTAAAATTTGATAAGACGATAGTGTGGATGAAAAATTGTTGCTCACCATCTGCCTCTACAGGGATTAGGTCACTAGCCACTGCAGTCCTTCAGCACACCCCGAAAGGGGTTCAGGGCGGAGATCACGGAAAAACTGGCAGAACAGGCCTTCAGATAGTTAGATGTTTTCAGAAGAAGGTTTTATGAGCCTAATTTCTTACATCTTCTCATATCCAGAAAAGCACTAAAATCATTAACAGAGACATCTGCTCCTCATGAATAGCAGTAAACTTCCAGCAAAATGTGTGCTTGATTGCACGTCTCCCCCTTCGCTAAAATCTTGTATATACTGACCTCCTTCTTTACCTCTTCAGAACAGTTCCTCAAATAAAAACGCAGACTTAGAGAACGGACTTGAGGACACGGGGAGGGGGAAGGGTAAGCTGGGACGAAGTGAGAGAGTGGCATGGACGTATATATGCTACCAAATGTAAAATAGATAGCTACTGGGAAGCAGCCACATAGCATAGGAAGAACAGCTCGGTGCTTTGTGACCACCTGGAGGGGTGGGTTAGGGAGAGTGGGAGGGAGACGCAAGAGGGAGGAGATATGGGGATAAACGTATACGTAGAGCTGATTCACTTTGTTATACAACAGAAACTAACACAACATTGTAAAGCAATTATACTCCAATAAAGATGTTAAAAAAAAAAAGAAAGAAAGAAAGAACAGTTCCTCAGAGCTGAGAGGCTGTCTCCCTGGCTATAGTTCTCATTTTATCCCAAGTAAAACTTAACTCACAACTCTCACGTTGTGCTTTTTTTATTTCAGTTGACAGTAGATAATTAGTACTTATGGACAAACATAGCTGTAGACCTTGTTTCTTCTCATTTTAATTTTCTCTGTTAATTGGGTACAAAATTTGGTTGCTATAGTTAAAGATCTCAAAAGCCCTCTCTTGGAAGCCAGATCCTAAATAGACCTTCCTTTCTTAACAGGTGTTATAGCAACAGCCCCCAGTCTCTGGGCATTTCAAACTATGCTAAGCCTCTTTTCACTATTAATTGATAAAAGTCAAGCTTATGTTTTAGGGTAGTAACTCCAATTTAAAACCCTAAACTTTTCTCATTCTAATTTGATACTAAACTCTGATGACAATCTTAATATGATTTTATTTGGTATTAGGAATACTTAAGGTAATTTCTAAATATTTTATTTAAAATATTATGTTATTAACAAATCATCCCATTCAGATAACTGACCCAAGCATGCCACATTACCAGAGGCTTAAGAATTAACATCTATAGGGCTTCCCCGATGGCGCAGTGGTTGAGAATCCGCCTGCCGATGCGGGGGACACGGGTTCATGCCCTAGTCCGGGAAGATCCCACATGCCGCGGAGCGGCTGGGCCCGTGAGCCATGGCCACTGAGCCTGCGCGTCTGGAGCCTGTGCTCCGCAACGGGAGAGGCCACAGCAGTGAGAGGCCCGCATACCGCAAAAAAAAAAAAAAAGAATTAACATCTATATACTTAATAGTAGATATTATGCCTTTAAAGTTGCTTATGAATTTGCCATGCTACAAAAATAAAGGAGTTTTCTAACTTCTTTGTGAAGCCCAAGAAAATTATTGGAGATTATCCAACATCAAAAAAAAATCTCATTATTAAGCTTAAAACCAATGAAGAAAATGCATTTTCTATTATTATGCAAACTAGTGACTCTTACTGGTTTTCATCCAAAAGAGACTAAACATTTATAGTCAATAGAAAGATAGTTATGTAATCTAGTTTCTAGAAGGAAAAAAACCTTATTGATAAAATCTTCCATTATTTGTAATTTTTATAAACCCCTAATAAACTGAAGCTGTAGGGCAAGAACTGAAACCCCTACCTAGTGAATCATTTGAACATTTACAAATGAATCTCATTTTTTTGTTTCAAGCTTTGATATATCTTTTTTAATGATTATTTATAAATAAATATTTTGGTTGAATTTAAGCAGTCTTTTGCCAAAAGACTAACATGCTGATATAAAAACAAAGATTTCATTTTCCCACCTGGAAATATCAATAACAGTGAAAGCTCACTTTACAGGTAAAATATTTTTTAAATGTATGCAAAGTATTCACATTTAACTGAAAAGTCCACATCATTTTCAAAGCTCTAAGAAGAAAAAGGCAAGCTAATGACATTTTAAAGTCAATACTGCCCAGCTTCCAAAGAAGCTTACTCTCCCTCGAATGATAATGGGATCTTATCTCAAAATCTCTATGGGGACTTCCCTGGTGGTGCACTGGTTAAGAATCCGCCTGCCAATACAGGAGACACAGGTTCAATCCCTGGTCTGGGAAGATCCTACATGCCGCAGAGCAACTGAGCCCGTGCGCCACAACTCCTGAGCCTGTGTTCTAGAGCCTGCGAGCCACAACTACTGAGCCCACGTGCCACAACTACTGAAGCCTGCGCGCCTAGAGCCTATGCTCTGCAACAAGAGAAGACACTGCAGTGAGAAGCCCGTGCACGGCAACAAAGAGTAGCCCCCACTCGCCACAACTAGAGAAAGCCCGCGTGCAGCAACAAAGACCCAAGGCAGCCAAAAATAAATAAATAAAAATTTTAAAAAATCTCCATGAACTCTCACTATATTGTTACTAAAATTACCTTTAGGCTTGGCTTGAGTTCTCTACTGACAGGTTCTGCCTTGATGCATCCTGATCTCATTGAGTATCATTATTTAGCTCATTTATGTGCTTAGTTATATACCCAGCAGCTGCCAGCCACACATCCAAAAGGGAAACCAATGATACACCTCTACAGACTAACTAGTTTAGAAGCACTATCACATGGATGAACCTTGAGGACATTATGCTAAGTAAAATAAGCCAGTCACAAAAGACAAATATTGAATGACTCCACTTAGAGGAGGTACCTAGAATAGTCAACTCACAGAAACGGTGGTTGCCAGGGGATGGTGGGGCAGGGGGGTGGGGAGGGAGATGGCGGAATGAGGAGTTAGTGTTTAATGGATATGGAGTTTCAGTTTGGGAATATGAAAGCTCTGGAGGGGGATAGTGGTGATGGTTGCACAATGTGAGTAATGCCCCTGAACTATACACTTAAAAGTGGTTAAAATGATAAAATTCGTTTTATATATACTATACCACAGGAAGGAAAAGGAGAAGGAGAGAGAAGAACTTAAGATTCTACAACCTGGCCATACAAACCTGCTAGAGGCCTGACCCTGAAACCCACTAAAAGGCTCCAGAAACAGACCACGACCAAAGCAGACAGCTTCCTGTGAATTCTGTAATTAAGATTCTCTGACTCAAGATGACATTGGGTGCAGACAGTGTCCCGCCAAGGCCTTCAAATCAAGACTCGTAATCAGGATATAGGATTTACATTTGAGCTTAGGTTTAATAATCATCTCACCTCCATTTCCTTACTCCTTTCACGTTAATCTTTTCTGTGGGCAACACTATCAATTTCCAACTGTTAAATTTGTTGTCCAACCTTCCAAAGTATTTAAAACAAAGCCTGATATCAAAACTTATCAAAAAGGATCTAAGACACTGGATATCACTGATTTCTTTTTTTTTCTTTTTTTAAAAATATTTATTTATTTGGCTGTGTTGGGTCTTCATTGCTGCACGGGAGCTTTCTCTAGTTGTGACGAGCAGGGGCTACTCTTTGTTGTGGTGCACCAGCTTCTCATCGCGGTGGCTTCTCTTGTTGCAGAGCATAGGCTCTAGCTGCGCGGGCTTCAGTAGTTGTGGCTCGCGCGCTCTAGAGCGCAGGCTCAGGAGTTGTGGTGCACGGGCTCAGTTGCTCCGCAGCATGTGGGATCTTCCCGGACCAGCGCTCAAACCCATGTCTCCTGCATTGGCAGGAGGATTCTTAACCATTGCGCCACGCGGAAGTCCTGATTTCGCTGATTTCTATGAGGATTCTACTCTGGCGAGAA